CGATCGATAATTATTTCTATAAAAAATGCTATGGTGAATCTCTTACATAAATAAAAAAAATAAGCAGAATTCCTTGGTTTCAAGAGTATAGTAAGTTTATGTAAACATAGCTTAATAGATTTGCCTGTAATAGAGGGGAAATTACTCAAAATAAGCTTTCTTTTATTCAAAAGAAAATTGTTAATAGTTTTGTGTTAATGGTTCTTATGACGTCCTAACCTGCTTAAAGATTTGAAAGCTCTTAAAGATATCTGATATCCTTACAATGTTTCTCCCTGTCATAAGAGTAAACAGTCAAGCTATCATGGATCACACTTATGGAATATTGTTCAATGTAGCTTAAAAACAAGATGTATTCAAAATTCACAGGCTGCATCAGCAGATGCGTCGCTAGTGGTCACTCACTGTTCCTTTGAATAACTTATTTCTACCTGGCTTTTGGTCGAGCATAGTATTTCTTCTTTTTGTTTTCTTAGATGCTAATAGTTAGTAAGTAAATAGACCACAGTATGTAAAATGATTATTAGACAGGTGAAAAACCTGGAGGCCCAGAAAGATGAACTGACTTGGTTAGAACCCGCTGGGAGTAGCATCAAGTGTGGCATTGGTGTTCAGGTCCTCCAATCCCTGAACAGTGCTCTTTTCCCTTTGTTAGACCACCTGACTGGAGAGTGGCTTGCAGAAAGGCAATATTCTGATCAATATCCTGCTCTCACTGTGATCTTCACAGATGAATGTTAAGCTTACTTCTTTATTATAGTAATCTGGAGCCTGGGATCTCTTTGATTTATGATCTCCTTTCCCCAGTCTTTTAAAGTCTACTATTGCTCAAAAAATGTGGCTTGATTTAAGCCAACATGATATATGAAAATATGATTTCATAAAAATATGATTATTCACAATGCAAAAGTTATCTTCACTTGACAGAAGAGTTGGCCAGAGTGTTCTTTTAAATAATGAGCTCCCTTATTGCCTTGCAGTTAAATAATTAGACGTTCAAAAGTATGATAGAAACCCACTGTTCTTTAGAAAGTCACCTACCAATAAAATTGTGATATATATATTTGGCTCAACCAACAGTAAAGGCAAATCTTCAAATTTGTTTTGATTTTAGTTCTTGTTTTAAACATGAAATTTAGTTGACTACCACTTACACACCCATTTGTATATTCATCTATAATTATTACAACTTTGCAATTCAAAGTAGAATATCTAAGTAAAGTTAAAGCTAATAATAATAAAAATGCTGAAAGGTTTGGTAAAACTTTAAAACAGGTCAATATTATGAACTCATAGTTACATAAAAGGTTATTTAAATCGTGCTTTGTCAAAGCCATTCATTTGATTAAATGAACATAGATAAGAAACCTTGAGAATAAAAAAATATTTAAAAATACATAATTAAGAATACATTAGATAACAACAGGGTAAGAAATTCAAAAGTGTCAAAACTAAAAAAAAATTTTAGTTATATTGCTTTTCCCCTTCAAACCATACTGTAGTTAAACTTAATACACAATTGTGGGATCTTGATATCAAAAGTTCTAGAATTTAAGCTTTCATTCCCTTCTATCAAAAGACATGTCTAGACTACCAGTAATCTTTTTGCAGAAACTGACAAAATGAATGTCTGTGGAGATAAAGGTATATAGAAGACATACAGACACATTGTTCAATTTATAGATGCACTAAATAGTAGCAAAGATATGAAATGTTTTAGCAGCCATCACAGTGTACAAACACAAATAGGCACATATATTTACAACACAGATTAAGGCAAGATAAAAAATGGGCAACTCTCACTTCCAAGTAACTACAGCTTAAAATTTAAATTTTATGATGAATATTTGTAGCTTTAATTACTCAACATGCAAGAGCATTCGTAAATATGAATAATATGACAAGCAGAAGCATTAGAATTGTGCTAGAAAAGGTAGTTAAGGTGTAAAAATATATAACAAGGTATAGATCTCTGTCCTGTTATCATGCTGAATTTTCATCTGAACTTTTTTTTCTCAAAGAAGAAATGGATATATTTTTTAGGTTTTAATAAACATATTAATAAAGGTCAAATTAGCTAGAGACAGAGTTATGCTAATAAAAATGTCCCACTCTTTATTCATGCCTCTGCCCATCTTTCAGATATTGTTTGATTGATCTTTAGCATGCAGAAGAGTTAATGAGGTTCTACTCCTCCTACTCTACCTAAGTTTGCTCAGCTGATTCCTTGCCCTCGACAATGGCTGCAGTGCGATGAACTCGTCACTTAAAGCGACTGTGTTGGAGTACATCTATAAGTGGACAGAAAAGGGATGGGACACACAACAAGTCAGTGAGCTGTATTCATCACCTAAGAGACAGACACAGGACAAGCTTTGTAAATACATCTGTTCCTACATGGGTAAGAAATATCATACACGATACACATACATGATTGATGTTTGTAGGGTTGTTGGCTATGCCATTAAAAGAATTTATTCTTCACTCTCAACACCACATTCTTATTCTGGAGAAAAATAAAGCTCAGAATAAATGCTGACAGCTCTTCTTTCGGTATAATTTTTGATGCTACTTTTGGTAAACAATAAAGTAGCTGACAATTTGAAATCAGAAATGATGGTATAAAACTGAAATAATAATGATCGCTGCCTGTGGCAAAGGAATAATGTCACATATGAGATTTGAATGACCATATATTAATACTATTTCAGTAAAAAAGGAAAAAGAAAACACCTCAGCAGGCTAAAGATCCCCCGAGTGGAAGTAGAGATTTCCTTCTTGGTTTAGACCACCTACAACATCTGGTTGTCATTTGGAAATAAATATAATGAGCCAAAAAGGAAGCTTATAATGGCTTTCACATGTAGATAAAATGATTGATTTACTGTACATTCCATTTTAATCAGTTTTAACTTATGGTAAAAGAACCAAAATATATGCAAACACTTTTAACTTGTGTCAGTGCCTACCCGAAGGTATTAAATATTTCCTATGTAAAAAGATAACAAGAACTAAAATCATATATCATGATAGCATTAAGAAATCTCTATGAAAACACATCATAAATTTGCCAATGCTCTGCCTAAAGTAGAATTTCTAAGGATAAATGTAAAGAAATTTAATTACAGGTATCTCTAATCTGAAAATCCAAAATGCTCCAAAATCCAAAATTTTTTGAGTACAGACATGAAATGAAATGCTCAGTAGAGCATTTCAGATTTTGCATACAGATGCTGAACAAGTATAATGCAAATATTCCAAAATTCAAAAAAATCTGAAATCTGAAACAATCATTTTAGATAAGGGATAGTCAACTTATATTTACTGTTATAAAGAATTAAGTTTTTAAAATGATGCCATTCATATATTTTGATGAAATACAACTGTATATAGGCCCAGAGGGGGAGACAAACTATTCTCCATAAAGAGAATAGACAATATATTAAAAATGATAATAGTATTATAAATATTTATCTCTAAAGATTAGAAATAGTAAGATAGGCAAAACTTGCTGATATATAGTTAAGAAATATATTGCAGAGTGGAAAAGTCTGTCCATACTGATATAAACATATGCATAGGCAGACAGAGTAATCAGATTATGCAAGTTTTTTAGCCCCATTTAGAGCTCAGTATCACAGAGTAACATTCTCATCCTTATTGTACTTAAAATGGTAACGTTTTTTACTGAGACCCAACTACATACAGGCCCGATTTGTCTAACAAGTCTGTAAAGTAGTTATTATTATTCTGATTTTACAGGGGGAAATTGAGGCTTAGCAAAGTGACTTGATCAAGTATATACATCATATAAACAGTTAAAACTGTATTTGAATTCAAGTTTGTCAGGCTTTACAAGACTATGCTGTCTCAATGGTGTTAAAATGTATATACGCTAGGATTAAGTTACCAAAGAAAATAAATGCTAAAGAAATGTTGTTGATATGACCAATTGAAATTAAAACCAATACACTTTTCAGGAAGCCTAACTCAAATCACTAAGTACTTAGGGAACACTTTTTCTACTTGCGGGATTAATATACAACAAAATTTCCAAAATTTAAACAAACTTTGCTTGGCATGTTGCAAACATGTTGAAAAAATATCAACCTCGGCACAATTAAATGATTAATAAACTCAGTGTTTATCAGGGTATAAGAATTGATTAGAATATATTCTTGAGAGAACATACCTGATACCATGGTACAGTTAAAACGCTAAATGAAGATAGATTTCTAGCTCACGTACTAGTCAAATATCCAGGAAAGGCTCTTTCAACTAAATAGCTACCAATTCGTGAGGGTCTACTATGTTTGAAAGTTGTTTCATTTAATCCTCACTACAAAGGTAATGAAAAGGACATTTCTACCCTAATTTTACCAATGAGGAATCTGAGACTCAGAGTCACAGAGATACCAAGTGGCAGAACTGGGATGTGAACTGAGATCTATAGGCCCCAAAGACCATATTCTCAAGCACTATATAACATATTGCTAATATCTGCTGGAGTTTAATATTTATTATTAAAAGTTTAGTTAGAATATATTTCATGAAATTCTTCTGTAAAAATTATTTAGGTTAAAAAACTTATTTTATACTCTTTTGTTGAAAACAATATAACCTGAAAAAGTATTACTCAAATTCTAATGTTTCTAAAGACATGACTATATATCTCATTTATATATAGAATAGAATGCTGTGATATTATTTAAAACATATTTATTATTATTAACTGGACATAACTTGACAGTTTTATATTTAAAAAGGTGGAATTTTGATAATAACACAATGTGATTTAAAAAACTCATAATTTATCAATAGTCATAAAATTAATAGAAATGAAACATCCTTAAAATATCACATTTAACAATGTTTTGTTATAAAATACTTGATACAGAAATAGGTAATTTCCTATTTTCTGACATAAGCAAATTATAATGACAGCTATTCTCCATTAAAGACCCCTAACTAAAAAGATATTGAATATAGAAAGTGGTTACCTGTGCCTTTTCAGTACTTGTAGGATAGAGGTGTCGGTCAAATACCTTCTTTATGATATCAAGAAACAGACATGTAACAACCATGAGGATTATGGCAAACCAAGCAGAACCACTTGATAGAAGCTCAATAAATACAAAGTACATATTCTGGGAGCTCAAAAATGGCCTGCAAAGAAAGACAGTGGGCTTAAGAAAAGTAGAAACTGAAAGATTTAAATCAGGACATCATATAAACACATTGTGTTTGAAAGTAAAAATTAAGTACTTCAGGAAAATGTTCAAAATCAAAATCAGTATAATTTAATTAGATAATAAAACAAGATGGACTTTAACTGTTAAAGGCAAAATATAAGTTTTTGTTAGTAGGAAAGTAGCAAGCAGTTGACTATCTTGGTGGTAGGGTATCATAAGAATAATGTAGTAATACAGACTTAAGAGACCAAGAAAAGCAAAGAAAAGTATGTAACAAAATATTTTCTACTGAGCAGTTAAAAGACTGATTACCCAAATCTTAGGATAAAAGCTTTATTCAGAGGTTCTTCTTTAAAAACATTTTAAAATAAATGCACTCACAAATACTAGTTTTACATAGTAATAGGTATTGCAAGATATTCTTTTTGGGTTTTTGTATGTATCAGTTCAAAAGAGTATGGGGAAATAGAGAAAAAAGGAGAGAAATAAGGAGGATTATAAACAAACAATATTCATGTGAGTATCCTTTTATGAAACTAAATAGAAGGTTTTTTGCCTGATAAATGGATCAAAGGCACAGCAGGCAAATGTAATATAAATTCTCCAAAAGAGAGACTTTAGTTGTCCATCACTTACCAAAGAATCTTAGGAGAAGCATCAATTTTTAATCTATTGAAGTAGCCAGCTGAGTATTTGATTATACCAATGAAGATGACACATACTATTTACCTTTGACAGAGAACTCAACAACTAAAATGTAATCGTTCTATGTGACTTGTTTTATTGTACACATTAATAAATAATTTGGAGGTAATATGGTTAGTGTAGAGAAAATTAATTGTGAAATAACACTTGGGATTTAAATCCTGGCTTTGCTACTTTTTTTACCGTTGTGATCTAGAGGCTCAGTTTCCACACAGAAAAAAATGGGGATAAGTATTGTGATGAACCTATGTAATATTTTACACAAAAAAAACCATTTAGAATATAGTAGATATTCAGTAAATGTTACTTTCTTTTTTTCTCTGTATCAGTATCAATTGAAAAAAGTAAACTTATTATCAGGATAGAGTCTCGAAACTATTCTGAGCAGAATCTGTTCATAATATAACCTATCAAAATAATAGATGTTTATTATAGTTGAATCAGTATAGCTGAATCAATATAATTAAAATACAATATAGTTACTCACCAGAGAATCCCTCCATAAAACAAAGAAAACACAAAATAAAATATAATGGATCCCCAGGTAACAAGATGGTTTATCCAAGTCCAAAAACGAGTTTCCAAAGCCATCTAAAAAAAATTGTTTTAAAAATTCTTAGAAATATAAAGTAATAAAACTTTACTTTTTAACCTCTCAGATAAACTCAAGAATACAATGTATTAATTATAAGTATCTGAAAGTACCACGGTAGAATCCCTTAGAAGACATATTAATGAAAGAGTCCTAGTATAAAACTGAATAATTTCTAGCTTTATAATATTTTTCTTTTGTGAAGAAGCAGCACTGAAATTTCATGTGATTATTGTATTTCAACTTCATAGCCTAAAACAAATTATGTTCTTGCGCTATATACAGAGAAGCAAAATCTCAGAGATTTTTATTTTTTTTTATTTTTTTGAGACAGAGTCTTGCTCTGTTGCCTGGGCTAGAGTGCCATGGCGTCAGCCTAGCTCACAGTAACCTCAAACTCCTGGGCTCAAGCGATCCTTCTGCCTCAGCCTCCCAAGTAGCTGGGACTACAGGCATGCACCACCATTCCTGGCTAGTTTTTTCTATATTTTTAGTTGTCTGGCTAATTTTTTTCTATTTTTAGTAGAGACAGGGTCTCACTCTTGCTCAGGCTGGTCTTGAACTCTTGACCTTGAGCGATCCTCCCACCTTGGCCTCCCAAAGTGCTAGGATTACAGGCATGAGCCACCACGCCCAGCCAGAGATTTTTATTTGATCATAAAAATCAGCTGAGGCTTCCCAAAATAATGAACTTAAGAATTTTTTGACAAAAATTTAAATGAATTGTTAAAATAGCAATCAGTAAAATTATTTATTATTGAAAATGGACAAATATCTACAACTAAAGAAATGAAGAAAATTAACTACTAATTATGTATATAGACATAAAGTATGTCCATGTTTCTAATTTTAATAACATACCTTTACCGTGACTGTAATAACCATGACTGTGAAGACCAAAGTGCCAAATGTCCAGTTTCCAAACATCTAAACAGAAAGAATAAACTATTACATTATGTGTTAACATGATGCTAAATCAAATGTAAGGGAAAAAGTAATTTCATTCTGTACTGAAAATCACTTGAAGTACTTAGCTCTTGGAGAAGTGCCAGTTAGTTACATTTGAAACTGGTGACTATATTAATAAAGTTAAAAAGAGTATAAGAAGAAACACCATTATGCTTATTATTTTTATGCTCAGTGGTTCTTAACATTATCAGACTGGAAACCCAAAGATGAGTTTGAATTGTGTGGCACAGACTGGTTTTAGTTAGAATAGTATAGTTGTTAGTGACTGCTTTATCTTGTCATGGTAAAAATAACAAAACTGTTAATCACAATTATATTTCTGAAACCCTCCCAACCAGAAGTTATAGCAGATCACTTGGCACAGTATTTTTGGACACAGCATTAGTAGGGCAGGAAAAAAGAAACTTACACTTAAAACTGAAAGGAAAGATAATGGACAATGGAATTACTCCTCAAAAGATTCCATAAAAAATGCAGTTAATGCCAGTCAGAAAGTGTTCCCTTGGGCTTTATAGCCAAAACTTATTAAGGTTTATTAAATAAGCAGAATCCCAAAAGAATATCAGGATTTTATTTCCACAAATAAGAACACAACCAGAAGTTTATGCTAATTTAGTTTATAAAGTAGTCATAATCTTAATTTTGGTTTAAAAAATTATTTAAAAGGCTGTTTTTTGAAATCACAGATTTCTAACAGTTAGCATTTTTGACAATTACTTAAGCTCTCTGTATCTCACTTTCTTCATTTGTATAAATGAGGATAAACCTCATAGGTTCCTATAAGAATTAAGATATACAAAAAGGACAGAGTACCTGGTATATAACAAGCAATCAGTAAATAACAGTCATGATTATCAACAATGAAACATTAGTTAACATTCCTTAATTTGAGGGTATTTGGGGAGTTTATTTGTCAAGAGGAAAATGGAAAACCCATACTGAACTTGGGCTTATTTTTCTGCTTTTATCATCTCTAGAAATGACCCAGAATACTGAAAATCAGTGGGTCTTAACTTAGCTCTTGGAGAAGTGGCAATCTCCTCTTTCAGGGCCATAAGGACAGATACTTCGATGCAGTCAGGGGACCTGGGCCTGGAAGTGGTAACAATGGCATGTGTCTTTATCTTTCAGCATGTGGTTTTACTGGATCTAGATTGGGGTATGGTACCTGGTTATTTTCCTTAAAAGCAGAAGAGAATTTAGGACTTCCTCTTATGTAGGCCTCATTCAAGGCTCTAGAAGGGGATGTACAAAAATATTCAATGGCTTTTGTGGAGTAAAATTATAAAAAATAATATATTTCAATTGTAATCAGTCAGTTAAGATTGTTATTTCTTTCTATTCTGACCTCTCCTTGAGCTGGTTGGTAATGAATGATTGGCAGAGGGCATTCTGAAGATCTGGCTAAAGAAAAGTGAGTTGAGCTTACATTTGGTTTGGATTAAGTGGAACATATTTATGTCACACATAATCACTTTCATGTATACTTAAGTTTGTATTTGTAATTATATGCTTTTTTTTCTTAAAGAGGGCCTGCTAAAATGTTTAGATTCTGTTAAACCTGGATCTGTCCCTCAGATGCTCAAAATGCTTCCATCCCAATCTGTCTGCTTTCTCTATCGTTTCTGAGATGGGAAAGATCAGAGTACCCAGTGTATAGACAAAGAAGAACTGACGGCCTAGGACTGAGCCCTAGGCCACTGTTCCATTTAGAGCAGTGGGTCTCAAGTGGGGGTGACTGTGCCTCCCTGAGGACGCTTGGCTGGGTCTGGAGACAATTTTGGTTGTCACAACTAGGGGAGTATATGTGTGTGTGCTACTGGTATCTGGTGGGTAGAGGCTAGAGATGCTGCTAAACATCCTACAAGTCATAGGATGAGCCCCCACCACAAAAAATTATCCTGCTCAAAATGTCAATAATACAGAGTTTGAGAAACCCTGATTCTGAGGGCAGGAAGAAGGGAAGATTGAAAAGGAATAATAAAAAATAGTAGGATGTCAAAGTAAGCTACAGAAGCTGAGAGAAGATCATGTGGCAGGAAGGAAGGCTTTATAAATTGTGCCCAGTGGTCAAGTTCGTAAGATCTGAGAAGTGCTTTTGGATTTAGGAACATAGAAGTGGTGATGACCATAAAGAACAGATTTTGAGAGCAGTGCTGGGGGGTGAAAGCCCAAGTGGAATACGTTCAAGGGGGAACAGGAGTCCAAGAAGTAGAAATGATGAGAAAATATAACTTCTTCAAGTTTTGCTCTAAAGACACGAAGAAAAATATAGCCAGAGCAGGAGGTTGTGGGCCAAAGCAGTGTGTTTTTTATTAGAACATGGGAGATCTTAAGCATCTTTGTGTTTGTATGGTGATGGGTTTGATTCAACAGAGGATGAAAGACTGATGGTGAAGGAAAGGGAGGACAGACAATTGCAGGAGCAAAGTCTTAAGTCAAGTAAGAAGGCTTTTAAGAATTAACAAAAGGTGAAAACTTTTTCTTTATCAGGCTTAACTGTACATCTATCTACACAAGAATTAACCTTCCGTAGAGTTAATTAGTTGTTCAGTTCTCCAATACAAACTATCTCTTTACTATGGATTGATCGTTGGGTACTACTATAAGAAGCAAGGCATACTCTTCCATTCTCCTCTAAGGTATACCTATATCTAATTTTCTATTAAGTACCTGGGATACTGTTAGTGCTTTAAATGTTTGTTTCATTAATAAATGAGCATACAGGGAAATTCTATAATGAACTAGACAAAGATATTTTTTACTATATAACCTCTCATTAAAAAATCTATATCTACCTATAGGAATTAAATTGGATGTGTTCTTGAATGACCTGATTGGCAATTATAGTAGTTAAATCATTTGAATTGAAATAAAGGAAGCGGCATCCTCTGTGGAATAGATACAATATAGGGTACTATTAGTCTTAACAGAGAACAGAGCTCTTACCATCTGATGGTTAGGTGTCAACAGCTGATGACACGTACAGCATGAAAGAGAAATTAATTAAGGATAGGAAATAAGGGGGAAGCTGTTAAAATTTAAGAAAAAATAGTAAATACTACAAAAGGTTTATTTTTCTTTATTCTACATTATGACCTGAAATTTTACCTCCTCAGTCTACCTTGTATTGCTAATTTTGCTATTATTATATATTATTATTATATTATTTTAATAATTATATATTATTAAGGTTATATATTATATTATAATTACACTGCCTTGTACTGCTAATATTTTTAAATAATCTGGGAAATAGTTCATGCCTAGAACGTTTAATGAAGGGGTGAATAATCACTTTTTCTCCTTAATCTTTTCTTTCTCATTTAAATTTGAATGGGATAGTATAGTATATACTTTTTAGAATGGTGCTGAAGGTTTGACAATTCCAGTATCTCTATTGGAGAAGTCTAACTGGAATTTACTCTAATAGCTTTTTACTTTTTCTCCCAATCCCATATTTTAAAAATTTTAATTATTTTAATTTTTCAAACTAGTACACTTCCATAAAAGAAAAAAAAATTAATGGGAGTCATTTTTCCTTGAGTTCCTATACACTTCAGTAAAACAAAAAAAACAAATCCCTTATTTTGGCAGGATCTCATTTTAAAGAGTAGTTAGCAAGTTTGTAATTTTGATATTAGACCACTGAGAATGTGTAAAATAGATATTAGTATTTGGGTCCTTAAAGTTAACAAAGAATTCTTTTTACATTTATCCTCTTTTTCTTCTGAAGCCTTTGGTTGAAACCCCCAGAGAAACAGAATTTCATAAAATATTGAGATGGGGAACTCAGCTACCTCTGAAACTGTTCTCCTGATATTTTCCTCCCTATATCATCTTAGTTTTCCACTCTCACCACATGACAATTCTCTCTTTAATGTTTCCTTCAATGTAATATTCTTACTAATCTAATATACTCTTATGACAGCCACAATGACTTTTCCATTACATTCTGTGGATGTCTGTTTAACTGGGGGTGAATTCTTTCAATTTGAATGGTTTCTCTTACATTTTCCTGTCACTTTCTTTCCTTATCTATAATCTTACGTAGCATCTTTCTTTATTTATAATTTCAAACAGCTTCTTCCCTGAGGAAGTTTCCTTACTGAGATAACAGTAAGACAACATAAGCTATTTCCAAAAATATTTTGTACAATAGCAACATTGTCAGAACAAGCATGCGCCAAGATGACTTATTTTGTAGGGGTCAAGAAAGGGGAACATAAGTTCTTTTTAAAAAATACAATCATTAGTTTTTAGTTGCCTCTCTAATTTATAGTATACTTAATAAACATTCTTCATTGGTATTTATTTAGCCTTTTTTAAGCATACACAAATTCTAAAAGAGCTGTAACACTTATTTAGTTTTTTTAAAAAAGATTTCATGGTAGTAAATTCACAGAAACAAAAAGTGGAATGGTGGTTGCCAGGGTCTGAGGGGAGGGGAAAATAGGAATAGTTGTTCAATAGGAATGGAGTTTCAGTTTTGCAGGATGAAAAAGTTCTGGAGATCTACTGTAGAACAATGTGAATATATTTAACACTACTGAACAGTACATTTAAAAACGGTTTTAAGAAAGTATCAAATTGCATATTTTAAATATGTATAATTTATTACATGTCAATTATACCTAAATAAAGCTGTTTCAAAAATATTTCATGGAAGTGAATTTTTCTAGATGGTACATTATTTTGGGGGAATTTAAATTTTTAAAGTTACATCAAAATCTCTCACAAATATTTTATAATATAACTTTGCCAAAATTCTATTAATAAAAAAGAAATGATGATTGCACTTTTCTTTAATGACAAATCTGCTTACAAATTTAAAGTAGGATGAGAGTAATAATCTCTAACTATCAAAAATAAATCTGTAGTATTCTACAAACCCCTGTTTAAAAACAATTCCAAAAAAGTTGATCCTGTCAGATAACAGAAACAACTGAAAGTCCTAAGCTCATTTTTAACTTTGAAAAATAAAATGAAAAGATTACCCAAACAACATATTTACCAAATTACTAATCTGTAACTTCTTGACAAATGTTTGTGACAAGACAACACCACTGTATTTTAAAACATGCCCCAGTTCTTAACTTATATTCAAAGACTGTAAGACTGTGACTACTTTAAGCCTGCATATGGCTAGAGACATTTTATGTGAGTTTAACTCTTCTATTATTTAGAAGAAAAACAAGAGTTAAAAATTAGTCACTAGTTCAGTCTTCTTATGAATATAATTATTTTCTGGCAACTTGTTAAGGAGTAACAGTAAAGGAAATTTTCTGTTTTGTTTTGAGACAAGGTCTCACTCTGCTGCCCAGGTTAGAATGCAGTGGTGTCATAGCTCACTGCAACCTCCAACTCCTAGGCTTAAGTGATCCATCTGCCTCAGCTTCCCAAGCAGCTGGGACTACAGGCATGTACCTCCAGGCCCAGCTAATTTTTTCTATTTTTTGTAGAGATGGGGTCTTGCTACGTTCCTCAGGCTGGTCTCAAAATCCTGGTCTCAAGTGACCCTTTCGCCTCTGCCTCCCAAGGTGCTGAGATTACAGGCGTGAGCCACCATGCCTGGCCAGGAAATCTTTTTTATGGTGCTCTGAAGGTAAAGATCTACCCACAAAAAATCCGGTTTAGAGATACAGATGGGAACTTAGATATGTCATACACAGTCTATCAGTCTTCCCAAACAACACAGAAAATTGATAAAGACTTATACTTTATTACTAAGGGAAAAAAGCCCTATTAAAAAGATTCGAGAGGAATATATGAAGGATGAATTGTTCTTTCCTAAGCTAAAGGAAAATGAAAATCAAGTGAATACTTCAAAAGTATTTGTTGAAAATTAATCAATATACAACATTTATAATATTGCTAGAGCCTTATACAAAAATTGGGAAAAAATCTTAACTTCCCCTGAATTGTTCTGGCCTTTACCCTAAACTATTGCAACTCTTTTTTCTGCTCCTCTCTCAGGACCACTTGGTGCATTGACTTCATCTTTACCTCAAACCACTTCTCCTCTCCGTACTTCCCTCTAATAACTTCTTCTACTCTAGCCCTCAATTGTTTGTATATTTCTTGGGCATGCAAGAATCATATTTAGAAAACGGGAAACATTTAATGTGTCCGGTGCTGAACATGGACTAGATAGAAGTGTAAAAGAACTTTTAGCACGGGGAGACATAAGAAGGAGCTAGAGCAAAAGGAGAGGCATCTGTGGGCTTAACTGTGAAGAACAGAGGTAGGAGCATTCTAGAGAGAAAATGTAAGCAATGGGTTAGAACTAGAAATGACCATGGCACGTTTTGAGAAAGCCAGCTAGGTGATTTTCACAGTTAGGAGACTTTCTGGGAGAAGTAGATCAGGTGGGATTGGGTAGGACAGGGTCTTCCAATATAATGATTTACTAATAAAATAACAAATGGTGCTGAGACTTATTGAGTACTTCTACATGCTAGCCAGTATGCTCAATTCTCTACATGTCATTTAATCCTCACAAGAAACCTATAAGGTGATGATTAATGCTCCTCATTTTGCAACTGAGGAAACTGAGTCTTACATAACGCATCTTGAATCACTCAAATGATAACTACAGGTGCCAGGATATGAATCCAATTTTGACTGATTCCAATGTGTGCCTCTTTCCACTATACCTAGTATTGGTGGTAGGGAGTGGCAGATTAATTTCCAGTAATATACACGTGAGTGGTAGAATTAGTAGCTAAAGGGAGAAAAGTTAATGATTTACAATTTGAATTAAAAAAAGAAACCAATAATTAAATAAGCCACCATTTATAATAAAGGTCAATAGTAATTTATCTTTCGTTAAGGTTTTATTATTATTATATTTTTGAGACAGGATCTTGCTCTGTCACTCAGGCTGGAGTGCAGTGGTATGATCATAGCTCACTGCAACCTCCAACTCCTGGGCTCAAGGGATCCTCCTACCTCAGCCTCCCAAGTAGCTGGGAGTACAAGTATGTGCTACCATGCCTGGCTTATTTTTTAAATTTTTTGTAGAGATTGGATATCGCTACAAAAGATCCCACCTTTGTTGCTCAAACTGGTCTCAGACTCCTGGCTTTAAGCGATCTTCCTGACTTGGTCTCCCAAAGTGCTGGGATTAGAGGTGTAGGTTTTATCTTGTATAAAGAATGCTCAAGTTTTAATTTTTTAAAAAGTCACTAAAAATTAGAAACAAACTTAAATTCTCTAATTAAGGAAATAAACTATGATGTGTAGTAGAGTACTATGTAACCATGAAAAATGTTTTTGAAGTATTTTTAATAACATGAAAAATCACTTAGGCTATAAAGTTAAGAAATGAGATATAAATTATGAGGTTAATGAAAAAAGCAAAAAGTAAACAGTTGCTATTATTAAAATACAATTCTGAGGTGAATAGCATACAGGGGTATAACATATCCCCTTATGTGAGCTAATTTTTGAATAGCAAAATTATCTAGTAACTTGAGTTTCCTTTTAAGATTACATTGTTTGCTTTTCTGTTTGAATTTTCATTTGTATGAAACTTTATTATTTAAGTAAAAATTTTAAAAAACCTTTTTATATCTGGCATTTTAATTTCATATCTGAAATTTTGTAATTTAAATTGAATTTTAGTTTTATTTTCTATGACAAAAAGTTATCAAAAGCCAAACCAAATCAAAATATTACCAAGCATTCTTTAAAAAATTATATTATTTTACCTGACCATTTCCAAGAAGAGATACATCTTCCCCCATCAGAAAATAGGATCCAAAAAAGAAAACAAAGGCATGACTGAAACCCAGGATGGTCCAATAAAGAAATTTATTAATGCTTAAGAGACGGTTTTTGCTAATGTCTCTGTAAATTAAAAAAAGAAGAGAAAAATGAACATATTAGGAATCATTTATTACCTATTATACAATTATTATAATTTGATAATTTAAAAACAAGATGGATTTTTAATTTAAAATGCTTGACAATATTAGCAGAAACCCGAACTTACAAACCACTGCTTGTAAGATACATCTGTGTAACAGTTTATAGTTTACATAATATATTCAAATACCTTTTCTCATTTGATGAGGAAATGATATAGGCATAATGTGTCAGTTTAATTGTGAAAAGCTGATTTATCTGTTATTATATTCTTCTGTTAACATTTAATCACTCTGCCATTATGGTCTCTTTTTAGTGAGGTCATTTGAGTTAGGGTCAGCATTGAGGGTCCTAATTAAGTTCACTTGCAACAATATCTATAATGGGAAGAACAATCTGTGCCAATCTTGGGTCAAGCCCAGTCCTAGATATCCTGGGAAATCGAAGTAAGTTATTCCATAACTGAATAATCATACCTCTGTAAGTGGTATCTCTCTAGGAGCTTATAGTGGAAACCATAAGCTGGTCCTGAGGAATAGGTCTCAAGCATATCTCTGTGATTACTTGGTTCTGGGGAAGCAGGAAAAGCAGGGGATTGGGGATGGGAATTAATATCCTCAACCTTGCATTTCGTATTGATTACTACTTATAAATTTGATAATAGTAGAACATAAACTGATTTTTTAGGAATTCTAGAGACCACCAATTCCTAATTTCTTTTTTGCATACAAAATAGAGTATTATTGGTTTACAATATTAAGTGCAAATTACACAATTACCCAATGCATTCCTAGGATGAAGGTATTCATTCTTACAGATACTAGAAAACTTATTTAAATTTTCTCTTTGAAAAAAATTATTCAAAATTTTCTCCTTGATATTTAATTACTTTAAACCATAAGACAATTACTAGTAAAGTTTTAATCATCAAAGCACTAATTTGCTTATTTTTAGGTATTTTTAAAAAATGGTAACTATTTAATACACTACTTGCAATCAGAAATATTATGGACCTTTAATACTGGAATATACTTACCGATAGAGGGTGGGCTTGTTCTGTAATACATGAGGGTCTATATGTTGTTCCAAAAGACTATATATCAGAATAGGTAGGGAAGTAAAACAAATATTGTATAAAGTCAGGTACACGCTGTCATACAATGTCTAGAAAGAGAAATTGGTGGGAATTGCTGAGATTCTAAATTATGAATTAGTATTATACTTAAGCGTATAATCACAAAGAAGCATATTAAAATAAGCATACAATTATAGTTTATCAATTTACATTAAAATCAATTTTAATAATTTCAATTTGCTTTTAGTATAGACATAAACATACAATGTTCCTAGATTTATATTCTTTGTGGGAATTGGAATATTTTACTATGTTAGGTGATTCTAAAAAATTCTAGTGAATTGAATACACATTTCAAGATTCTCCACAATTTGGTCACTGTAAAGTAATTTTATACAATTCTCCTACAAGCACCCAGGCTTCTTACTTACTATTCCTTTAGAAGAATTCCTTAAAACACATACAGGTTATTTTCACGGCTTTGTTGCCCCATCTGTGTCCTATTCTTCCTTTAAGACATTGAACAAGACTCTTCTTCCATGAAACTTTGCACAATTGCCCAAGTTCTTGATGATGGCTTTCTCCTCTAAACTGTCATAGGTCCTACTGTTGGTATTAATTGCTTAGCATTTTGCCTAAGCTTTATATATTGTTTTAATTGTTATTAATACTGCCTCCCAAATTGCACTATACACTCCCTGAAAACCTAATTAAAATAGGTCCAGTCCCCTTGTCATATGGTCTTATCACATTCTTTAGTTTATTTAGGTAAATAAACTGTTACTGGCAATCAATGTCCAAGCAGATATTTGGAATTTAGAGTTATAGGTTGTAAAAAGAGGAGAAAAAAGCAATTAAGGATAGAATAACTCGTTAAAAATCTAAGATAATTAAGCTCTTGTTTTTTCAATAAATTTGGACCAATGTCTTGATCAATTTGAGCTGTAGAGTGTTGTACGTGAAAAGGGTGCTCAATTAGTCAGAAGCAGTAGCTCCAAGTCATGATTTAGTCATTAACTTAGCTAAGGCGAGTTACTTAATCTCTGTGGATTTCACCTTCCTTTTCTATAAAATAAAACAGACTAGATCAGGAATTGCAAATATGTAACATGTGTACAAAAAAAGACCCACTTTGTGCCCATTACAGCCACTGCTAACAAATTACAGCCTTTTCCCTCTGAACCTACAGCTTCAGAAACCTTTTCAATATAGTACTCCAGGTATCTCTTTCAATTATTATTAGCTCTATGAATAATTATTAGCTAGCTTCTAAGGTTAAAACCTATATTGTCATCGCTAGACTAAATCACTAAGGTTCCTTCCAAACCCAAAAAATTCTGAGCCAAATATAAAAATGAGGGAAATCTCCAATATTAACTGGTCTGGCTTGATATGGATTCTATAGAAATATCACAAAGAAGCTGAAAAAAGTTATCAAAATTCTCTGATAAGCTGTTAAGAGTTAATATCTATTTTTTAAAAAATCATCCAGAATTACAATATATTTTGGTATTAACATTCACCTCAAATTGAAAAGCAGAATAAATATTATGAATGTTATGCTGATTAAATACACTAAGCAAAACAGTTTTGTCTAGTTACCTGTAGAAGAAAAATGAGAAAAGTCCCTCAAATGTCTATCGAAATCCAAACATAAATACCTTATTCTAAAAGGACAAAACATAAGCTGCTGTTTACTTACTTGTTGAGAAAATAAACAGTAGAACTGATATAAAAATTGGGGTGTTATAAAGCACACATTCTGAAAAATAAGATTAAATAGGAAATAATTAAAATATTTAGGTCTAAAAGAGAAACATTTTTAAAAATGGCTACTAAGGTATCCATAAACACAATCTCAGTTAACATGGTAAGTAGAGGATAAAGACTTGTCCATATAAAACAGGAAAGTAGAATTTCCATTTTGTTAAAAAATGTCTAAAAGCATTTTATACACCAGTATAGATATCAGAATGAAAATACCCTTGACTCCTATCTTTGCCAAGCAATATTACAATTTTGAATTTACAACCTGCCGACTATTATTCAATTCTTTTCATATATAGTACAATAAGTAAGATTTACTTAAATTTTAGGGCTATGACAGCTTTAAAATGCAAAAATAACTTCAAACACACAATAAATAGAACTGTCAAAACATCTTTCCATCTCAATATACTCATATTCCAAGTAAAAGCTAGAATAATAAGTCAAGAAAACTGCCATCATCATCTTATAGCAATGTGTAGTCTACTACTTGTGTTCTTTCATTGGCTTGCAGCTATTAGCTATAGGAATATATGCAATACAGGACATTGCTACATTAAATGTATTGGTAACAGGAGCTCTTAATGTGGGTTCCCGCTCTCCTCAAAAGGATCCAGAGATAGAATAGTACTTCAATATAATTATTTTCCTTGTAATCCTATGTATTTTATTTTATGCATACAAAAACCCCATACTGAGGTGCTCATACATTTCGCCAGACTACCAAATGGTCATTCATGACACAAAAAAGGTTAAGAAACTCTGTTTGAAACCACCATATTGTAGTTAAATTAAAACTTATTACCGGTTCAGGATAAAATAACTTTAAAGAAATCAAATTTACTGTGTTCTAATTTGCATGGAATAAAACATCAATTTTAATTTTAAATTTTGATGTGTTTTGAAAATTTTTTATATACTACCACCATAATAAAACTAGAGAATTTTTTTATCACCCCAAAACCTCTCTTACATCCCTTTTCAGTCAATTCCACCACCTGAACCCTTGGCCCCAGGCAACCACTGATTTGCTTTCTGTTGGTATACATTAGATTTATGACAAACTACTGTTATTTTTACTTATAGACACTATTTTTAATAAAAATGTATATGGTTATAACATTTCTCAAACTGAAACTTCAAATTATTATATCAATAATTGATTCTAAATATCTACATGAAACTCACCTTGTAAAAAAAATACTGTACAAGGGTAGCTATTCTAATATAATAAAAATGACCATGAACAAAAAGCAATTTGGAGAGGAATTTAAATCTAGCTATTGCATAGTCACTGTTTCTTGCAGCCTGTCTTCCTTCTTTACCCATGATTCCTGTAACAAAGGGGACAGAAAGGCATGTTCACTTATAACTGATTAGTTTAATTTTTATGATATATCTGCAAATATCTTAATTATTTATAGTAGTTAAACATGGACTTCGGAACACTGAATCCTAATAAGTCAGCAGATAGCAGATGTCTAAAAGGTTGTCCTACTTAAATATGTAATTAATATAAAGCTACAATATATACCAGACATATACCAATTTTCAAAGAATTAGAACACAATAAGATAAAATACAATTAATATAAAAATAATATTGAAAGTTCAAGATCTAGCAGGAGCATCAATTATACTAATAAGCACAAATACAGGGTAACAGAGTTCTGATGGACAGGATGCTACAAAACAGATTTAACTTCACTATTTCCAACGAATATAAAAAATATTCAAATTGAATAATTTGAACCTAGCAAAAATAATGAGCATATTTAACTGATTTAAAACTTTCAATGGTGCCAGGCACAGTGGTTCATGCCTGTAATCCCAGCACTTTGGGAGGTCAAGGCAAGAGGACTGCCTGAAGCTAAGAATTCGAGACTAGCTTGGGCAATGCCGTGAGACCCCATCTCTACAAAAAATAAAAAAATCAGCTGAGCCTCGTGGCATAAGCCTGTAGTCGCGGCTACTCAGGAGGCTGAGGAAGGAGGACAAGGATCACTTGAGCCCAGTAATTTGAGGTTACAGTGAGCTATAATCGGGCCACTACAACCCAGGCTGGGCAGCAGGGCAAGACTCTGTCTCAAAAAAACAAACAAATAACCTTTCATGCATAAGTCAAACAAAGTGTGCTTTTTAAAAGAAAAACATAAATTTAGAATAAATAAACTTAAAAAAATAAAAGAAAAATGTACAATATCATTTGAAATCAGTGCATTGTTTTATCTGACAAATATGAGTATTTTTTAGGTTACAATAATCCTTTAGGTTTCAAAAAAGCAAGAGTTATTGCCAAGTTTTTCTAATTTGAAAGCCACTTTTAAATTTAAAATTTTTGTCATAAGAGTATCAAAATGCTCCAAAATGTATAGGCAATGAAAATCATCTATATTCATAACACCTAGGTAAAACCACTTTTTTAGTCTATGTCCTTTCAGAATTTTTCTTTCTGCTTATTTCCTGTGTGGATTTAATACATATAAAAACATGTATAAAAATGGGATTATTTGGTAACATGCTTTTGTTACCTAACAGATTATGGACATTGTTTATAATATATATCGTTTATCAACACGTTCAATTATTTTCTTAAAAGAAATTCCTGGATGCATAATTGCAAGGTCAATAGGCATATATTTAAAAATTTTGTTATGCCTAATAATGCAGGGTGTACCAAATTACTCTCTCACTAACACTGTATAAGAGGATTTGTTAATCTATACCTTTGCAAACTCAAGATTTATCAATCTTTGTAGTTTCTGCCAATCTGAAAAGCAACTTCAACTTGTATTTCATTGATTGTTAGAGACTGAACACTTTTTTCATACATTTAGTATTCATTTTAAATTTCTCCTTTTATGGCAACTGATGGCTCACATCTTTCTGTATATTTCTACTTTAGTGTTTTTCTTATTCTTATTAATTTGTTAAGACTTCATATATTAGGAATATTAAGACTTTGTCATCTATTTTGTAAATATTCTTTACTAGTTTGTCTTTCATCTTTAAAATTTGTTTTGGGAGAGTTTTTACCACTGTATGATTTTTTCCCTATAGTTAACTATAGTTCCTTCCTTGGTATTGTGCTTAAAAGACCTTTCCACATCTCAAATAATAAGATTATTCATTAAAATTTCTTCTATTACTTTCTATGGTCTTTAAAAATTATTTACATCCTAATTCATCTGGAATTTGTTTTACTATAAGTAATGGAAAGGGACCCAACTTCTCTTTTTTCCAAATATTAAAAACTAACCAATTTTATCAATATTTTTTACTGAATAGTTTGTATTTATATGAAACATCTCTTTGTTATACACTAAACCTTCCAGATTCTTCAATCTCTTCTAGTCACTGACCTGATAACTACCCATTGCAGGATACTATAGAGGCTGTTCCAGAACAGAGACTAGCCTAACTCTCTTTTAACTCTCAAGTTTTATTCTTCAATTAAAAAAACCCATGCCCATACTTTTTCTCTTTTGCTGTGTATTTGTAAAATAAAATTATAGAGGAAGACAGGTCAGAATATGGTTAAAATAGGAAAGGATTAATAAATTAAATATAATTAAATAATAATAGTAGTCTGAATCCAATAAAAGTTTTAGGCAAAAAGAAATTAGAATAAAAGTTATTAAAATCAGAAAACTATTTGAAATTTTATGTTATTACAGTTTGGTGCAATTTCTTGTTTCTAAAATTATCTTTAAAATGTGTGAAAATACTTTAAAAGGTACAAAATGGCACGTAAAAATAAAGTTACTTTTATTATGGAGAACTGGCAAAGATAAAATTCACTAATGTATTTATTTCCTTTAAAATTTAGAACTAAAAAAAAAAATTTAGAACTAAAATACACTATACAATATACCATAAAATATAATAAAAATAAAAATAAAATATAAAATATACTATAAAATATAATATAGTATACTTAATTATAATAGGTTTCTGATGGGGATACAATGTGATACATTACCATATTGCATTTAGTTTTCATTCACATATTTGATATTGTACCTTAATTTACAAAAGGAGAATTCAAAACCACCAAATAATTATACCAACTTTAAAAGTTTAGGAAAAAAATCAATTACCTATGCCAACATGTGCTTCCTGTATCATGCTCACATCATTAGCACCATCACCAACAGCCAATGTTATAGGTTTCTCAGGTGAGATTTTTATCAGTCTTATTACCTGAAAGACATACAATGAATTAGTTCTTTATGATAAAATTTTAGCTTTCTTATATTTACATAAAGTCATTTATCTGAAATGACTCTGTAGTAAGAACAGTAGAGTAATGAAAAAAAGATTGAATTTTATGTTAGACAATATGCACTGGTGTTCATTTTTTTTGAGAGATATCTCCATTAAGATTTTAGGAATGTCTTTCAGAAATGTCACAACAAAGAATTATCTTTGGATTTTATGATGAGAAGCAAGAATCTTTTAAATATAGCTTAAATATTTAAAAACCTTAATAACTTAATTATGTAAAAAAAACTACACTTAATTGAACTGTTAGGCAAAATTTTTCCTTCTCAAAAAATTATTTTTTTCATTTAATATTAAGAGGAAAGACAATTGTTTTCTCCTGTGATAAAATTTTAAAAATTTTAAATAAGCAATCTAGATTAAATTCGATGAAATCAAAAGAAAGATTTCTTTGGAATTCTTGAATGTTCTTTTATAAAGAACCTAGATATTAGCTCTGTTTGGCAGTTTTAGTCTCCAAAGACTGGAGTACATTAGTTATCACATGGGCACTGTAGCAAAATTCCATGTAGTCAAAAAAATTGGAAGTCTAATTTATTAGACCTACATATGAAACAATCAATATATAGACATGCATTACAAAGGATTTGTGAAAAATACAATCTAAGACCTCAAATTCCCAATTTGGAATTATAAAAATGTTTGTATAGGCTTTCAATTGAATCACAGGTAGCTGAAATTTAAATATTTCCTATATATACAAAAGCTTCACATTACAAGTTAAGTAGCTTTTTGACTTTTTACTAAAACTCTATTTATCACTTTATAGCCACTTTAACAAAGAATTAACATTTCATAAGTATGCAAGAATAAGTAGAGATCAACAGAACCATCTGAAAGTACAGATGAATTGAAGTCTTCTAGGCTCTTTCACTAGCTAAGTAACTAACTTGTGTAACATTAGTTATCACAGTTTAAATTTGTATTTCAACAAGAATACAAATCTGCTACTCATCAGAGACTTTCTATGTCATTACAAATAGTTGAAACCTTAATGTTGACTGTGAGAATTCCAAAAGTCTAATGCATAGTTAAAATTCATAATATGATAAGTGACTGACTCCTAGTAAAATGGAACTATGTGAGGTATTAACCTAAAAGAACATTTTTAGATCTAAATATCTTTATCGGGATTTTTATAACATATACATACTTTTGCTTTCTGCAATGGTGCCATACGACAGCATAATACAGCTGAACAATTTCTACAAACTTCCATAAATAGTTTTTCATGCTCCCTGAGTGCAAGAGATAGGCTGGTCCCATCCACTACCAGCCCATGCTGAATCACATGATCCTCTGTTATTCTAAAAGAGAAAATAATTATATCCTTTGTAAGATATTTTGAAGACATATTATTTATACTAATATTGAACAAAAGGTTCTTACCAAAAGATGGATTGTTCACATATAGACCTCACTGTTACAAGATGGGTAAGTTAGGAAAAAACTAGATGGGTTCACAGTGTAGCACACTGCTACTGAGAAATATCCCTCCGTTTTCAAATAAGTGAGAAGACTATTAAATGAGCAACAAGCTATAAAAGCTAAACATATATTTATAGATTTTAGTCTTAGAAAAAAATTTTTCATAAGTTAAAATGATGTATTTCATAGTATGCCTAATCACTATTGTGTTGCACTTAACTAATAAGTGGTAAGCAATTCACTTTACATCATAACATTTTAAAAATTTATTTTTCTCTCCTTTATTAAACCTCCAGTATCCGAAACTAATACCTACATTGACTGTTTTTCTTCCCCATTGGCCAAACTTTAGCAACCTGTGGTGCCTTCAATGTCTTCAGCCTGTCCTAAGCATTGCCTGGACAACATGCCTCAGAAGTGACAGCAGACAAGAGTGGGACAGATCAGTTTTCTTAGAGAATCTTCCTAAGGCACATTAAATTAGGTTTTCCTCTGGACAGGCTTCACAAATCATCATATTATGATCTCACAATCCATGGGATTATATATATATTAAGACAGGATCTTGTTCTGTTGCCCAGGCTGGAGGACAGATTATAGCTCACTGCAACCTCCAACTCCTGGGCTGAAGCAATCTTTCTGCCTCAGCCTCCTGAGTAGCTGGGACTACAGGCATGCGCCACCATGCCCGGCTAATTTTTTTATTTTTGTAGAGATGGGATCTTGCTATACTGCCCAGGCTGTTTTCAAACTCCTGGGCTCAAGCGATCCTCCCGCCTCAGCCTCTCAAAGTGCAAGGATTATAGGTGTGAGCCACTATACCAGCCTCTGGAATATTTAAAAAGCATGGAAAAGCACCTACATTTCTTGCAAACAGTAGGTAGCATCTGCTAAACTCTGTAGCCTCCTGTCCCATAATCTCTTCCCATAGTCTCTCCGACCTATCCCATTCTCTGGCCACACTTTACTGTCAATTCCTCAGTTAAGCCTCTCGCCCAGCTCTGGGAATTTTCACACACTGTTCCCTTTTCTTCTTGGTGTCACTCTCTGTCCAGTTAACATTTCATCTCTCAAGAGGCAACACAGTCACTTGTCTTCCAGAGCTCTCCTTAATACACCTCGTCTAAGCTAAGCTTCTCTCTTCTGTCCTATAGCTTCTGTTCTTGCCTCAGTTACCATCCAGTTGTGACAGGCCTACGACAAAATATTTACTTCCCTGTTTTTCCTACACACTGTAAGCATTTGGGGCATAAACAACACACCTATGACTTTGTGTTCCAAATGCCTAGATGGAAGATGATATATGTTTGTGAAGGAATGGATATATAAACTAAAGCTTTCAAAGGTATGAAATTCTTTGTTTTACACAAGATTTTTATCAAGATTTTTAGAATAGATGCTACTTGCCAGTCTGTAAATCAAAATCCTATTGACTTATACAATTATTTCAGATTTTTTCCATCAAAAAGATACATCCCTAAAATATAATATAAATTTCACATAGCAAGTGCTATGCTTTGAATGTGCTGTCCCCTCCAAAATTCATGCTGAAACAATCTCCATTGTGGTGGTATTAAGAGGTGGGGGCCTTTTGGGAAGTGATTAAGTCATAATATGAGATCTGCCTTCATGAATGGATTAATACCCTGATATAAGAGGCTTCAAAGAGAGTTCGCCCCCTCTTGACCTTAGTCCCTTCCCCCTGGTAGGACACAGCAACCCTCCGCTTAGGAGGATGCAGCAACAAGGCACTGTCTCAGAAGGAGGGAGCAGCCCCCACTATACAATCTTCTAGCACCTTGATCTTGGCCTTCCCAGCCTCCAAAACTGTGAGAAACAAATTTCTGTTCTTCATAAATTACCCAGTCTCAGGTATTTTGTTATAGCACCACAAATGGACTAAGAAAGCAAGTCTAAAATTCACTTTAAGGGTATAGTCTTCAATTTATAATACAGTTTTTGTACAAAAAGGGATGAACAATACTAATAATTATAACATATTCATTAAAACCACACATATAGAAGAGTTAAAGAAAATATGCTAAAATATAAATAATTATCTTTAGATGATTGTATTATGGCATTAACCACTATATCTTTATAATTTTCAGTATTCTTCAAGTAGACATTTATTACCTTTATAATCAGAAAAAATATATAAAGGCATACCCAAGGTAAATGGCTCTAAGCAGTTAATTTCTGTGTTTTAGGAAGTTCTCCTTGACATTATGGTATTTAAATGTTTAAGCATCCACAATGGTGTTGGCACTGCTCCCAAACTATAATTATTAATACCTAGATCACCTTTTTGGCATTCAAGCAAACACCCTTCTGACAGTTGCACTGTCTTTTTAAAACATCTCTTAAATAAGCATTTCTTAGATTAAATCTAGAGGTTAGTAACACATCAATGCCTGCACAAAAAATACAAATAGAGCCTTGAATGCATATTAACAACCATGGTGTTATCTTTTTGTGTTTGTTTTTCTGGGTTAGTATCACAAGACTGCAAATGACAGGAACCTGTAGGAGACCTAATATGCCTACACGCAAGCAGCCCTGATTCTCACAATGAAGCTTTTCTTAATTTACTGTGAAAAATTAAACTGTGTTAAATGGAGGCACCATTTGCTTCCATATGGGGCATAAATTTGATCTGCCTATAAAAAACGATTTACAAAAAAGACAGAATTTAGGGCCGGGCACGGTGGCTCACGCCTGTAATCCTAGCTCTCTGGGAGGCCGAGGCGGGCGGATTGTTTGAGCTCAGGAGTTCGAAACCACCCTGAGCAAGAGCGAGACCCCGTCTCTACTAAAAATAGAAAGAAATTAACTGGACAACTAAAAATATATAGAAAAAATTAGCCGGGCATGGTGGCGCATGCCTGTAGTCCCAGCTACTCGGGAGACTGAGGCAGGAGGATCACTTGAGTCCAGGAGTTTGAGGTTGCTGTGAGCTAGGATGACGCCACGGCACTCACTCTAGCCTGGGCAACACAGTGAGACTCTGTCTCAAAAAAAAAAAGACAGAATTTAGAGTATAAATTCTTATGAAATAATTTTTGAACAGTAAAATGCAGATTAATATCACAGTTTGGTCATGCAGACTAGCTCAGAAGTTGGCAAATATTTTTGTAATGGGCTACAGTAAACATTCCAGTTTTAAACTTTGTGGGCCAAGAGACAAAATTGAGGATGTTATACAGGTGCTTATATAATGAGAGAGAAAAGAAATTTCAACAAAATTTTTACTAAGTTAAAAATGTAGTTAATAATTGAAAATTTTTTAAATAGAGAATAATATATAATGAGAAGAATGGGAATCTTTTCTTAGGGGAGGGAGATAATATTTTGCTTAATTGGAGTTCAAAGTTAATGTTCCCTACCATCAAAATTAATTATAAATGTCCATCTGGTAATGCCTATCTGTAATGAGATTTTACATCTCAGTACAATGGAATTATACGTTATGAGATTTATAATTCATCTTTGAAAATGCCTTTTCAAACAGGTAGCACAGCTAAAATATTACTGCATAATAAACATAGTGCTTTGCTATGTAATTCAATAATAATTTAATAATAAAATAATCCCAATTCCATCGTGCCTTCAAAGTGTGATATTAAAAGTGCATTTATCTTTTCTTGTTTGACACAATAGCTATATACTGACAATAAAAATAGTAAAATATCATGATATGCTACTACGCATGACACTTAAAACACTATCAAGTTATAACTGTATCACTGTGATTTATGTCATGAGGTCTCTGTTGCAACTACTCAACTCTGGTGCTGATATATAAAAGCAGTTGTTGACAATACGTAAACGAATGTGGTTGTGTTCCAATCAAACGTTATAGACATTGAAATTTAAACAGCACATAATTTTTACTTCATGAAATATTCTTTAGATTCCTTTTCATCCATGAAAAAATATAAAAACTACTTTTAGCTTATGGGCTATAAAAAAACAGACAGTGGGCCATATCTGGCCATATCTGGCCCATGGGCCATAGTTTGTTGATCCCATGACTGCATGATAGAAATATCTATATTCTCACCTTCTGGAAAGCTGCCTCAACTGCTCAGCACATTCATTGTCTGATTTCTGGTTTGTAAGTTCAAGGATGTTCATGGTTCTATGAAAGTGTCCACATGATAAACTCACACTAACAGCTGTTTCATGTTTATCTCCAGTAAGTACCCATACTTTGATACCAGCCATTCTCAATGCTTCAATAGTTTCTCGAACTTTATCTTGTAGTCTGAAAATAAAAGAAACAAATTAGTAGTAGAGAATACTTTTCTGCTGTGCATGGTGGTGTGTGTCTGTAGTCCCAGCTACTAGGAGGGGTGAGATGGGAGGATTGCTTGAGTCCGGCAGTTTGATGTTACAGTGAGCTATGATCATACCACTGTACTCCAGCCTGGGTGACAGAGCAAGACCCTGTCTCTCTCATTCATTCATTCATACATAAATAAATAAATAAATAAAATTTTAAAAAAGAGAATACTTTTCTGACTGTATGTTAAGTATAAACCACATAGCATATAAAAGGTAAATTCTAAAATCCTTGACTTAGGAATATGTATATAGAGATATAACTGAAATTTTCTCCCATTAGGAAATAAACACGAATAAACAGATTAGTGATCATCTGGTTAACATAAAATCAACTAACTAAAATCTACAACTTCCTATTTTAAGAGTATATCTTCAAAGGTGATTTTTATAGGACCAAACTATGTGGTCTTCATAAACTCCTATTTTATTGGGAAGTCTTAAATTTCAAATCAGAAGATGATTTTTCAGCTGGGAGCAGTGGCTCACCCCTGTAATCCCAGAACTTTGAGAGGCCAAGGCGGGAGGACTACTTGAGGCCAGAAGTTTCAGATCAGCCTAGGCAACACAGTGAGACCCTGTCTCTACAAAAAATAAAAAAATTAGCTGGGCCTGGTGGTATGTGCCTGTGATCCTAGCTACTCAGGAGACTGAGGCTGGAGGATTGCTTGAGGCCAGGGGTTCAAGGGTGTAGTGAGCTATGACCATGCCACTATACGCCAACGCGGGTGGCAGAGCAAGACTTTGCCTCAAAAAAAAAAAAAAAAAGAAGAAGAAAAAGAGTTTTTCTCTTTTTGTTAAGAAAATCTCTCAAATCACTCATATAATTTAAAAAATCAGAGCATGGAAAATAAAGGACTACATAACTTTAGGTGAGCCTCAGTAATCTCATGAGGACAACTGAAAAGTAAATGAAAACCTAAATTAAATAAACATGCATACACCCTTACGTCTATGGTGTAGAGGTGCTGGGGAGCAAACAAGAAGAATAAAAGGACTTCAAGGAATTCACAGGCTAATAGAGGAGAAAGTTTTTAAACATATGATTATAATGTAGTGCCACAAGGACTACAGTAGAACTACCTACAATGAGACTTCACAAAGAAGAGAATTTTTAATCCTGTTAGATCTCAGGCAAAGTCTTACTGGAGTGGAGCTAGTATTTGAGCTATACTTTATGAATAGGTATTCACAGATGGATAGGGAAGGGAAGAATCATCCAGGCAGAAGGCACAGCCTTCCCAAGGAACCAAGGCACAAAATAGAATAGTTTTAACTAGGTTGATGTGCAAAGGAAAACCACAGTTTGGTATTACTGAAACATAAAGTAGAAGGGGACAGTGGTGGGAGGTGAGGCTGGAGAATTAAGCAGGTGTTTAAAGTCTTTGCATGGCCACTGAGGAGTATTCTAAAAATCCAAACTATAAGGAAAACTACAGATAGCTGGTTTTTTTCATCTATTTCAGATCTCTAGCTAGAACAAAATTTATATAGGCTGACTGGGAAAAATTAAGGTTTTAATTCTCTATTTTGATTTTAAATATATTAAGTTATAGGGTGTTAATAAATAGAATTTATGTCATATATTAGAAACACTTGGTTAGAAAAATTCTTAAGAGAGAAAAATGATACTGCTTACTTATCTGATGCTTACCTGTCTTCCACTGCTGTAGCTCCAAGTAATATCAGGTCTTTCTCTATGAACTGGAAGGTGTCTGCTAATTTTTCTTCCCGTTGCTGCAAGGCAGTCCTGGCTTCAAATAGGCGTCTATCTATTGCCTCATACTCTTTAGATGTAAACTGTCTATAGGCTATACAAAGAGTTCTTAGCCCTTTCTAAGACAAAAAAAAAAAAAAAGGAATAGAAAAAAAGAAAAAATTGAACACAAATGACTAATGGAAAATCAAGAACTCATTGAAATAAATTGAGGACCTATTACCAAAAATTAATTACAAATCATTTAAAAAGTACTATCATCTAGTGAAAGGAAATAAATGAAATGTCACAAAGCCCTAGTGATCTGAGTTAGTGGACACATTATCATAGCTTTTTCAATTTCTGATGAGTTCTTAAAAATAATTAAGATCACTGAATTGTACAATATTAGAGCCTAGAAAGGATGATAAAGACTATCTTATTTGTGGTTTTAAAACTGTGTTACATGGAAAGCCAGAAAGTCCTAAAAGGGTATCTTTAGGATTGTTAAGAGAGAGACAGCCCCAGGTTCTACTCTCTTATTTTAATTTGCAAATCCACTTTTACCGATTTTGTAAGGTTTTCTTTTTTTTTTTTTAAACAAAGGAAAACATAATTTCCTGAGAATTCATTGTATGACAAAATCTGCCATTCAAATAAAGAAGTCTATAAAATGGGCATTATCAAACAGTACTTTCTAGATTTAACAAATGAATGATTTTAAATATCATTACATCTTCAACAGTGAATTGGAATCAGAATTGATTATCTGATTCTACTGGGCTCAAAGTTTTCTTATGGCATTCATCTCTGAAAGTTTATGTCTAAATTCTAAGATTCATAAAAGTTCCTTTTCTTGCTATACATTTTCCTCAGAAAAACTCATAATAAATGTTCTAATAACATAACTTGCAAAGAGTAGATTTTAAAATACTATATGACACTTCTTGGCATATTTCTAAATACTGGCATTCCTTGGTTTATAAAGGACTCATACCTATAAATATTTCTCTTAAATAACAGTTAAGGGACCATCAATTATTTATATATGAATGAATTCATTCTATGACAAATAATTATTGAGCACCAGCATTGTGCCAGCATTGTTCTGGATATTAAAATGGTGGTAATGTAGAATAATGTTTTTGTTCTTATGGACGATACAGTGTGGTAGAGGAACTAGATCAAACAATTAGGAAACCCATAACGGGAAAAATGAAATCATAAACTAGTAAAGGAGACAGGTGAGCAGAGATGAGTATGGAGCATACATTTATAGAAATATAAAAAGGAGAGCTCATGAGGTTCTAAGACTGAGAGAGCTGCTTAATAATTTTGCTATCACATGAATTGTGGTTCTTTATTTTTGTAAGATTCTCCTATATTTTTTCATATTCTAAATAAGAGAGATAAAATTCACATATCCTAACATTCACCCCTTTAGAGACTACAAATCAGTGGTTTTTGGCATATTCATAGAGCTGTGAAATCATCATCACTATATAATTCTAGAATATTTCATACCCGCAAAAGGAATTCCATAACCACTAGCAAACATCCTCCTTCCCTGCTTCCTCCAGCTCCTGGCAACCACTAATCTGCTTTCTCTATGAATCTGCCTATGCTGGATATTTCATATAAATGTAATATGTGGTCTTTGTGACTGGCTTCTTTCACTCAGCGTAATCTTTTCAAGATTCCTCCATGTTGTAGCATATATCAGTACTTCATTACTTTTAATAGCCAAATAATATCCCATTATATGGATAAACCATGTTTTGTCGATCCATTCATCAGTAGCCATCAGGGTTTTCCCATTTTCTGGCTATTAGAAATAATGCTGCTTATGAACATCATGTAGAAGTTTTTGTGTGGACATACGTTTTCAATTCTCTTCGTGTATACCTAGGGGTGGAATTGCTGGGTCATACAGTAACTCTATGTTGACCTTCTGAGGAAGTGCCAAACAGTTTTTCAAAATGGCTGTGCCATTTATAATCCCACCAGCAAGGTATGAATGAAAGTTCCAGTTTCTCCATATCATTCGCATTTCCTTACATTTTTTTTTATAAACACCCTTTTGTAGTAGTGTAGTTTGAGTGGTGCTTGCAACCAGAAGTGCCAGTGACTGTAATAGTTTTGAAGAGAAGACTTATACTTTAGGAATTTAAAAGTTGGTTTTTACAGAAAAAATGTGGCGCCAACAGATAATGTAACAGAACTGCAGAATTTCCATAATTTTTGGTAAATTATTAAAAAATGAATTGCCAAATCTTTGATAAATATATTTTTTAGAGTTTTTTAAATCATAGAAATTTGCACTCACCAAAGCAAATTCATCTACATGAATTCGGGTTTTTTCTATCTCTCCACCTACACATTTCGGAAGAATTGATGATTCAGCTCCTTTAGCAAATAAAAATTTCTCACCTAAAAAGAAAAAATGAGTTATTAGGCTCTTACTATTAGGTAAATAAAAATTAATGAAAGTTTAGACTGGTTACCTGAAGGCGCCTGAACAATTACACTCATTCTTCTACGATCTGAATCAAATTCCAGAATATGAAGCAGTTTGTATCTAAAGAAAAGAAAATAAGAAAGACAAAAACTTTACTTTTTTGAATAACATTAAGCAAATATACGGAAAGAATCCCTATAAAAGTAAAATAGCTAACTTAGAACAAGAAATTAATCTCAACTACATTTTCATGATGGGTTGTGAATTATTAATAACAAAACAGGATAGAAATAGAAAGAATTGACATCGAATACTTACCAAATGCCATGTGATTTACATACCTTATGTCATTTAATACTCATGAGAATTCAAGTAAGTAGGTCCTAACTCATTTTTATAGATGAGGACTATTAAACTCAGAAAGATTAAGTCATTTGCTTAAAGTCAAATAAGTTTGTGAATGGCAGAGCAAGAACTAGAATCCAGATCTTCTTCCCAGCTTCATGTTTTTCTGACTAAAAAGGGTGATTGATTTTCAATCCCTTTTTATTGGTCCTAATAAACCTGACAAATACAACATATTCACATTAGTTTCACAGGGTCATTACAGTAGTGATTCTGAACCTGTGTGTGTGTGTGTGTGTGTGTGTGTGTGTGCGCGCACACGCAGGGGAGGGGAGTGACAAAAGCCTTTCTAGGGAGCTGTGAAAGAATTTGTGTGGACAGGCAAGGTGTGGCTTAAAAAGTCTTCCAGATGAATTTTACACAATGATGTACAGATGAAATGCTTTGCACATCTGAAAGGAAAATAATGAGTTGAATGATTGTTTGTAAGTTGATAAAATGAACTAGACAGGCTCCCACATAAAAGTAGTCAAAGAATGGACCCTATTTAGTATGAAAAAGCGCAGTTTGGAAAAGCACATTTGAGTTGAGATATAATCAGAATTGATAACACCTGAATGGTTTAAGGATAAGTGTAGACTAATTCATTTATCAAAGAATGGAAATATATTGAAAATAGACAGCTGTTCCTTAATATTTGAAGAATAAAATCATAGGAAATACAAGCAAAGTTTTTTTTTATTCAGTGAGTAGAAATTTATGAAACCCATTACCCTAGGAATGTCTAAAAATAAACATATAAGTAAATTCAAGAACCAGTAAGCTAAAATATAAATACAAGATTCAGAGCAGAATATTGTTATAACTGTGATAAGATATAGGTAACACTGGGATCATTCTAGAATAGAGATCAGTAGACTTTTTCTGTGAAGGGCTGGATATTAATATTTCAGGCTTTGCAGGCCATATATGGTCTCTGTTGCATATTCTTTCATTTTTTTAAAAAAACAATCCTTTAAAAATACAATATGGCTAGGCATGGTGAATCACACCTGTAATCTCAGCATGTTGGGAGGCAGAGGCAGGAGGACTGCTTGAGCCAAGGAGTTTGAGATCAGCATGGGCTACATAGTGAGACCCCATCTTTACAAAAAATTAAAAATTAGCGAGGTATGGTGGTGCGCATCCGTAGTCCTAGCTACTCAGGAGGCTGAGGAAAGAGGATCATTTGAGCCTGGAGATGGAGGTTGTAGTGAGCTATAATCAATGTCACTGCACTTCAGCTTGGGTGACAGAGCTTGGCTCATGGGCCATAGTTTACTGATCCCTATTTGATACTATATACTTATAATACAGAGAATTTTACAATATATGAAAAAAAATTACCGTTCCAGTTTTCCAAGTGTTTTAATTTCCATAGTTTCTTCAGAATTGCCAATAAATACAACGCCAATTCTAGGGATTAAAAGGACAAAGAAAGGTAAGACTTAAGAAATAATATTTCATATTTCACAATGTCATTATAGTTTAGCTTGAGAAAAAACATTTAAAATAAAAGTTTAAAATGTGTTTAAAAGTATTGCCTTGGAATAATATATTATTACTTTTAAGAACTTGAAAGTTCAGAGCAGGTTCAGTATAATATAAACACAAGTATTTCTCAAAAATTATATTACACAGATTTCATAGTAATCACATTTGTAAAGAGATCTTAAAAATATGACTCAATGCAAGTTTGGTAACAAAATTAATGATATACTTCAAATTTTCATTTAAAATTTAATTTAAAATGCACTTCTATTTTTATGTGTTTATATGAATTTTGACAACTTAAGATGATGAATTTATGTTTGAAAACTTTAAATGATGATTCTCTAATATTCTAACATTTATTTAAAAGGTATTTTCTGAAGATTTGAAAATTAGGCTAAATTACCTCGCAGCAGCTTCTACTAGAGCTTTCTCATCTGGTGAAGATGCGTAGTACTCCAACTGGGAGGGTGCCAGGTTGGATTGCCAGGGACCATCACCAATGCATTCACTCTGAACATTGCTAATCTGTACAGTGTGACAGAGACTGACTGCTTTAAAGAAGAGATCATGTTCTTTAATCTGTGGGAACATAATCAATATTCATGATAAAAATACCGTTTTGAAATCTCACTTAGGAAATAAGCAAGAATGTTACAATCTTGATTCCCTGAATAATAGCTGGTTGCTTCTGAGTTCAAAAAGTAAAATGTCACATTTGTTTAGGACCATTCAACATATGAGCATCTTTTAGGAGGCTTAACCAAATTGCAAATAAAGGGGAATACGCTTTTGTGAAAGTAGTGAGGTCTCAAAAAATATTAAGTATATTTAAGCTCTATTTTTCAATAAAGTCTTCTTTACTTCAAGGCAGTAAGGGTTTTTCTTAACTCAGTTCCATTTATATGCTCAGAGAGCTAAGGCAGACACCCATTAAATAACAAGTTAAACTGGGCTGTAACTATAAATTCATAGGTTATTTTGTAGCCTTGAATCAAAGATATACATTTGAAATACATATTCCTTGCTCTGTTGACACTTAAAACTTTTTTTTCTCATACAACCCATCAACTATGGAAGAGAATTATTTCATGTGAAACCCTTATTTATTAATTTAAAAATCGCTTACTAGTTCAGTTTCATTTTCAGGGCTGGTTCTAAAAGAGGAACTTGTAAGATGGGATAAGTTGTTGAGATGGGATAAACTACTAAGATAAGTTAAGTCTCCTTCTGAAGAGTCTGGTGTTGGTCCTTCAGGTACAAGTCTACCATTGATTTCTTGGTATTTCATGCCATTAATCGAGCATTCCCGAAACTGCATCTCATTTTCTGTCAGTGTACCAGTTTTATCTGTAAACACATATTCCACCTAGAGAGAGAGAAAACAAAAGAAAATAAACTTTTGTGTTCATTCATGGTGCTATGTTAACCAAAACAAAAAAATAAAGAAAAAAACCCCCTTGCCCTCTGTCATCTAATATCAAGTTTACCTATTAACATTGATATACCAATGCTGACATTCTTGTACTCCAACCACAATTAGATAATAAAGATGAGTAATATATGATGTTCATCTGTAGAGGTAACTGAGAATATGGTATTAGTACTTTTTCTTAATCTCTTGGCTAAGGTGTCTTTAAGTAGTAGTACTCAAGGATTATCTTTGAAACAAAGGGATGAAAGAAGGGATACTTAATAATAACCTAGAATGTGAAAGGGTAGCTGGGCCAGGAGAAATGGTACACAGCTGAGAAGAGGAACACAAAATGATAGCAACATGGGAAATTGTCTAAAATAGACATAGGAAGTTGAAACTGAGGGCAGGAAACAAATTCAGTGAAAAGAATGAAGGTTATAAAGAAAAAAACATTTTTTAAAAGTAGATAAATTATTTTATTACTTTTAGAGACTAATTACAGAAAATTCACTTTAAAAGAAGATAAGTCCATGAGGAAAAGCATGTAATAGCCAAGTCTTGATCCAACCAAGATTATAGAGAAGATGTGATTACTGCAAGTATGACTTGAGAAAGAAGTCTTTTAAAAAGGGACGTATACTTCACAAGGAAACAAACTACAGGCTACTATCCCTTATGAATATAGATGCAACCCAAAAACATAAAAAGGATTATATACCATGAGTATATGGGATTTATTCCAGGAATGCAAGATTAATTCAACATTAAAAAATCGATGCAATCCATCATATTAATAAAATGGTACTTTTCCTTTATTCTATTAATTATAACCATCTTGATAAACACAGAGAAAGCATTTGACAAAATCCAAAGGCACACTGGAAAAAAATTTGTTCAGAATAAAAAAAAAAAAAAATTTGTTCAGAGAAGTAAAAACGAGCTATGCTTTTAGGTCTTGAATATGTGACACATAATTAAAGAAATGTGACATAAATTTATATTTAGCATAAATTTTTAAAGCCTCCTAAATGCTACTAAAAATACATAGATCAACTTCTAGTTAAACATGGCAGGTTGAGCTCATGCAATTATCTCTGCTCCTCTTGAAACTTTATCATAATGAGAATAAAGAAATAAAAAAAGAATAAAAATAATGGTAAAAAAGACAACATGAGAAGGGAGATTTGATACAAGTTTGGAAGATGGAAAGATGAATGAGTGGTAACTGAGTCACCAGAGCTTAGAATCTGAAATCTAACAACGGAGAAGCCCACTACCAGAAACTCTCAGGAAGTAGACACACCAGCTACCCCTGAATGTAGGAGTACAGGATTGGGCTGAAAATAGGAGGTATCAGGAGCAATTTAAATCCTGAAACCCCTTTGTAACTTGCAAAGTTGAGAATGCCCCTCATCCACTGGAGTAACATCTAGAAGGTTTATTCCCAAGGAAGCTGAACCAGAGAGAATATCGACTATGCAAACAGCTGAAAACAGAAGTGAGGCAGTACACTAAAAACAGAGATTTCCACTGGCCAGCTCTAGCAATCAAAAGCAGCAGAAATATTACCTATAGTATTTCTCTCTGGGGAAACTGAGGAAAGACCAATAGATAATGACAATTAGGGAATACCCCCCAAAAACAGCTGGGCCTGCCAGCCCATTACCTTAAGGTGGGGCCCATTGAATCAATAGCTCCTAATAAGCATTTTAGCACCTCACTTTTAAACTTGAAAGGATAGCCAAAGATTAGCATTCACATGACAGATAGAGTCGCAAACCAAGTACAATCAGTTCTGCTATAACACTGTCTTAAAAACACAAATTTATTCTAATGTAACTGCTATTAATATATAAGGGAACAATTTCAGCATAATGCAAACTTTTCATTTTGTTATGCACAATTTTGTCTGCAAGAAACATTAAGTGAACTGCACATAAGCTGTGTAAAAATACATGAAATGCATAAACCTCAAACAGCTCCTACCTACCTCAGTTCATCACATGTTGTGAGCCACACTCATCCACATCTGGTATTACAATTTTCCTTCTGATTTCAGATAACTTTCCCAACACTTCACAATAACAAATACATTGAAACCCTCTGATGCATACCTTCCACAAACAAACTTCAGGTCTTTTCAAGGTAAGTGCCATATTTATTATAGTATTTACGTATTTCTTAACAATTTAGTAAGTGCTGTTTTTATTAGGTTCCTATGTTTTTTTAAAGTGTTACTGAAGAAGTTTTTGTGTTGTACCTATAATCCCATCTCCCATAATTCCTGTGGTTTTTACTAAGCAATTTTGCATAGCAGAGTGATTTTTAGGAATGCATATTTGACATTACAGCAGAACTGACTGTTCTGTTAGAGAAACTAGGAGCAAACAAAGATAATGCAGGGAACAAAAGAAGACTTTAAATAAATTGTCATTAGTATCCTTAGAGAGATAAAAGAATAGATTATGTTCAAGAAACAGGAATAAGAAGCAATTGAAAAAAAGACTATTCAGAGAATACTGAAATATTAGAAATTAAAAATATTACAGCAGAAATAAAAGAAATTAAAAATTGACAAATTCTCCCAGAAAGTAGAATATAAAAACAAATGAGGCCGGGCGCGGTGGCTCACGCCTGTAATCCTAGCTCTCCGGGAGGCCGAGGCAGGCGGATTGTTTGAGCTCAGAAGTTCGAAACCAGCCTGAGCAAGAGCGAGACCCCGTCTCTACTAAAAATAGAAAGAAATTAATTGGACAACTAAAAAATATATAGAAAAAACTAGCCGGGCATGGTGGCGCATGCCTGTAGTCCCAGCTACTCGGGAGGCTGAGGCAAGGAGGATCGCTTGAGCCCAGGAGTTTGAGGTTGCTGTGAGCTAAGACCACGCCATGGCACTCTAGCCCGGGCAACACAGTGAGACTCTGTCTCAAAAAAAAAAAAAACAAAAACAAAAAAAACAAAAAAAACAAATGAAAACTGAAAGTAGAGTAAGAGAATTAAAGAATCAATATAAGTAGTCTGACATCTACATAGTAAGTTTCAAAAAAAAAAAAAAAAGAAAAGAAAACATAGAAAGACATGTTATCCAAGAAATAATACAAGAAAATTTTGTAGAATTGAAGGACATGTGTTTCCAGATAAAAAGGGCTCAGAGTTAACTGCCCAATGAAAAAAGGAAAACTCACACCAAGGTATATCATCATGAAATTTCAGAACTATTGCATAAAAAGGAGCTCCTACGAGCTTCTGAGAAAAAACAACAGATCAACATAAAGAATTGGGAATCAGACTGGTACCGGATTTCTCAACAACATTGAAAGTCAAAAAACAATAAAGAAATGCCTTCAAAATTTTGAAGAGAAATGATTTCCAATCTGGAATGCAATACCCAGATAAATTACTAACCAAGGGTGAAGAGACTAAAGGTATTTTTGGATATGTAAAATTTCAAAATACTTTCCTCTCATACATCCGTTTTTAGGAAGTTATTAGAAGATGTGCTGCACTAAAATGAGAAAATAAGCCACAGGTAGAAAGACTTGGGATGCAAGAAACAGGAGATCTAAAACAGGAGAGGAAAAGGAATTCCCAGGGTGATGGTAAACGGAAGTCCAAAGTGACAGCTGAGAACAGGCCCAGAGAGAGTAAATCCAACTGGAGCAGAAAGATATAAGGTTCCAAAAAAGCTGGCACCAAAAAATAAAAGGGGGAAGGGAAGAAAAAAGGAAATCCTAGATTACCTGATGTGTTTGAGTTTGCAGAGAGATGTGGCATATATTTGTCAGGGACTTGTTTGTGGTATGTGGAAATTAAGCAAATGAAAAAACAGCAATTAACTCTAGAGAAAACAAAATATATAAGGAAATGTAATTATGGTATTATAGGACACACATATAGAACTGGGAATTAGTGCACAATATTAAAAAAGTCATAATAATGTCAATAAATAAATATTTATTAAATCCCAAATTGTGATATAACAATATGAGGAGGCTATGAAGAAGCAAAAAGTGGGCACATGTTGTCTGGGTACATGGGTAGGAGGAATAGTGTAAGAATCATATGTTTATATTTCCTAGTAGATTATGTCTAAATTTAAGAATCAAGAAAGAATACCATACAGAAATATAGTGGTAAATAACAGAAGAAACAAGATTTGAGAATCAAAAACAAGAATTAGGAGTGGAGCAAAGTAGGGTTGTTTTTTGGTATAAGCTCTATAATATTCTCTGTTCTGTATTGTTTTGATAAAAATAACAAATTAGAAAAACAAAATATTAGGATCATTTTCACCTGTCCAAGCTCTTCATTCAGATCGGAAGTATTGACTTGAGCTTTCTGATCTGATTCTTCATGATATAAATCAAGATCCCAGCCAATAAAGAATGATCCAAGAAATTTCTGCATTTCAACTGTCACATATAATGAAATTGGAATGATGAAATTGTAGAGTACTAAAAAAGCAAGGAAGTCTGAAATAAACTTCAGAATCTAGGAAAAAAGAAATAATTGTTTGATAAGAGAAAATACATGAGAATTTCTTCAGTATCACTGAAAAAAATTATTAGAAAGTTTCATGCCTAAATAGACCATCGACTATATTCTGAGGTGGGACAATTTCATGAACTGAAATTCATTTACTGAATCGTCTTTTTTTTTTTTTTTTTAGACAGTCTCACTCTGTTGCCCGGGCTAGAGTGCCGTGGCGTCAGCCTAGCTCACAGCAACCTCAGACTCCTGGGCTCAAGCGATCCTCCTGCCTCAGCCTCCCGAGTAGCTGGGACTGTGCATGTGCCACCATGCCCGGCTAATTTTATCTACATATATTTTTAGCTGTCCAATTAATTTCTTTCTATTTTTGGTAGAGACGGCGTCTCGCTCTTGCTCAGGCTGGTCTCGAACTCCTGAGCTCAAATGATCCGCCCGCCTCGGCCACCCAGAGAGCTAGGATTACAGGCGTGAGCCACCGCGCCGGCCTTGAATTGTCTTTTTAACACTACATTTCCTCTGGTTATTTTATTGCTCATTAGAATCTTGATCAAAGTAAAAGAAGAAAAGGTTAAATTCAAATTAGTTAATTTGTTACTTTTCAGAAGCTAACAAAAAGCCTGCTGTGACTGAAACTATCTTTGGCAAAATTATTATTATAATCTCTGGAGCGTACTTATCCATTCTGCTTCTACCCTTCAAAATCACAAATAACTAAAAATTGAGTGCAACAAAAAATAATCAAATAATTGCTAGGCTGTAATTGCTAGAAATTAAAACTTTTTAAGTACAGAATATATAGAAACAGCCTACTTCAATGGCTTAGCAGCACCACATTTCAACATGCATTCTGTGAAAGGTAAAGTACTTAATTGTGAATAATATTGAAAATATGACCCTGTGATTATCTGCTTTGTGGTTTCTTGAGATCAAAATTTGTCTTCCATTACGTATATTTTAACTGAAAGTGAAATTTGAATAACAATTATTTACCAAAATTGTAGTTAAATTCTCTTGGCAGTCCATGTTTAATCTGTTTAAAACTCTGTATGACATAATTTGTGTATTACTTCCTATCATCAAGACTGACAATGAGACTCCTTCAGACAAAATTATAAATTATAAATAAGTCAACTTACTCTTTAATTCATTTATGATAAGATATAGTAAATGGAATAGAAAACTGAATTGGTAGTATTGACGTGGAATGCAATTATAGACAGATTCAAAATTTTGTGACCTCTTTGAACTATTCAAGTCATGTCACAGGGAATACAACTGCTTACGCCCTAAACTGCAAAAAATATACCAGTACAAACATGAGTTTCTCTTTATCTGCAATACCATTTTGTCATCATTCTGTTTTAGGAGATCACAGTGGTCCCTCCTATCAGAAGTCACTACCAAAGCATCAACTATGTTGAAGAGCAAAGTTTCCTTAACAACAGAGTCAAGAACACCATAAAATACCTTACTACTATTTCTTTGATGTTCTGTTTTTTGGTTATACCAAGGTTCATCCCATTTTTCTTCAGCTTGCCATATATATTTAAAGATAGTACTGACGATGGCTTCAGAAATCAGAATTATTAGATAAATTATCAAAAATGTATTCATTGACCTAAAGCAAGAAAAAGAAAACATAAAACATATCAATTATGTGTTACCATATTTGTTTGCTTGGAAATTAATACTTACATTAAGAAGATATTAAAATATAGAAGGAATTAACTACTGTAGGAATTACTGTGTCCTTTAAAATAAGACACAGTTTTTCAAGAATTTACCATTCAGTAAAATTTATTTACTAGCAATAAAATATCCAATATATAGAGATTAAAAGCCTATTTACTATAGCTATGTTACTGTTCAAACGCTTAAATGACAGTTTTGGCCAGTTATTTTTGCCTTAAGTAATTAATTATTCCATGATTTTTTATATTTTCAGGACCCATCTAATTATAAGCATATTAACTGACATTTTTACAGCATTAAAATTTTTATAAAACTTTTGTCATATCCACTATCTTATCTGATCTTTATAAAAATCTTGTGAAGAAGAGATATTACATCTTTTTCACTGATGAAGATGAAAGGCCAAAAAAATCATTGTATAAATTTCCCAAAATCACATGACAGGAATTATCTTCAGAATCCCTCTTCACTGGGCAAGTTTTGTTTTTTTTTTTTACCACCCCACCCCCCTACTAGGCAAGTTTAATGTCACATGTCTTTGATTTCAAGTTTAAAAACATAAATTAATAATAGAATTAAAGAAATGTTTTATAATTAAAAAATTCAAATCTATACAAAAGAAACAGAATGGTATAAGGAATCCCCATGCATCCAACAAGTATTGAGGAAAAATGCAGGTCACAGCCTTTATAAACACTCTGATTTTTCGCCTTAGCCTTATCTTAACTATGCAATAAGTTCATATTCCTCTATCCTCCAACATAAAAAACTCTGTCGTGAGTAGGTGGAGAGTTTTTGTTTGGTTACTGTGTGTTACGCACAGCGCTGGGCACTTCACATATAGTATGGCTCAGATTTTTACAGATGAGAACACTTGGATCAAGGAATTGAAACAACTGGTCCAAGGAAACACAGCCAATAAGTAGGGGATCTGAAATTTAAATCTACATCTGTCTGATTCCACATTCTGACATTTTTTTCATGTCTCCTTGTAATAATATAACTGTAATCCTTGGTTTATTTCCATCTTCCTGTCTTTGCTCATTAATTCCCTCATCAGACACACTCTCTCCTTTTTTCCCTGTATTATTTAGCATATTTTTTTGCAGTTTAACTCAAAAAACCATCTCCTTCCTAAAGTCTGTCCTAATGACTTTGGTTTATATTCAACTTTCCCTAATTTAATTTTCAAACTAGTACATTATCTAATTTTTCATTGTGTATTAGTTTTAATTTCCTACTTGACAGAAAAGGAGAAGGAATTATATTTCAGAAAAGCTACCACAACAAGAGATCACACAAAAATATTTGTAAGTATTTCTACATTGAGTTTTCTCACGAAGAATTCGGTCAACAGTTTCCAAGTCTCTTATAGTTCACAAATAAGACTTCAGCATTGAGATGATAAGAATAATAATACCGTGGCATATGTTCTATGTTTATTAATGTATCACCTCTCACTGAAGTCCCCTCTTGAGTTTCAATGCAATATTATAGGTCATTAAATATGAAATGTCTGCTTTCGAATCAAAAATGTAGTTTATTATATCTCAAACAAGAAGCAGTACAATTAATCAAAGCATGCACCTAAACTACCAACACAGTTTTGCCATCTTAATGGTAACTTGCTTATCCCAGCAGCGAAGACGCCAAGAGAGTGTGTGGCGATGAAATCGTGAAAGGCATTTTCCACGGCTTGCTGAGAACTGAATATTTTGCCTTGCAGGAAGTGGTCCAAAGCCCGAAAGAAGTGGTAGTCAGTTGGTGCAAGGTTTGGGGAATATGGTAGATGACAGAGAGTGTCCACTTCCAGCTTCTGTAGTTTGAGCAGCACTGTTTTTTGCAACATGTGGTCATGCAAGAGGATTGGTCTGTCTCTATTGACCAATCTTGGATGCTTAATCACAAGCATCCTCATCATTTCGTCCCATTAGACATCCACTGTAATTGATTGACCAGGTTTCATGAAGCTGTAGTAGATAATATCAGAGCTGGACCACCAGACACCATTAGCTTTTTTTGATGAATATTCGGTTTTGGAATATGTTTTGGCACTTCACCTTTATCTAACAACTGTGCCAAATGCTTGCGATTATCAAAAAGCACCCATTTTTCATCACACATGACAATACGGTGTAGAAATGGTTCTCCTTTACGTTGTGACAGCAAAGAAAGGCAAGTTTCAAGACGATTTCTCTTCTGAGAAATTTCTCATTTAATTGATGTGGTACCCATCTATCCAGCTTCTTTACCTTGCCGATTTGTTTCAAATGGTCCAATATTGTCGGAATAGTAACTTCAAACCTTGCTGCTAATTCATGCGTAGGTTGAGATGGATTCAATGGATTCACTTTCACTACAGCTTTCAGCTCATCATTAATCAACTTGGTCTCAGGTCACCCACATGGTTCATTTTCAAGATTAAAATCACCAGAATGGAACTTCTCAAACGCTGGACGTACTGTGAGTTCATTAGCCACATCCTTCCCAAATACTTCATTGATATTTCAAGCTGTCTGCACTTCATTGGTTTCATGACAGAACGTATTCAAAAATAACACAAATATTTGACTTATTCATGGTTTCACAAAAATTGCTCTAAAAAAAACTGAGATAATCACAAGCCAAAATGTGTGTTTGAAAGAATGAGAATATACTCTCACAACTAAAAAAAAAAAAAAGAAGTGTCAAAGTGAAATGTCAGAGATAGCAACTGTCAAACTTAGTACTTAAGAAAATTGGACATTCCATACTTAATAACCTTAACATAAGTCTTCAATTTTATTGTATTTTGTTTTTCATGATCTATTTAAAAATATGAAGTACTTCATAAATTTGCATGTCATCCTTGTGCAGGGACCATGTTAATTTTCTCTGTATTATTCCAATTTTAGTATATATGCTGTCAAAGAAGCACACAAATCTTTGATTTTAAATTTAAACACATAAATTTCATCACAAAGAAACTTTATCACAAAAAAATTCAAACAGAGAGAAACAGAACACTATAATGAACTCCCATGTGCCCAACTATCAACATTCTACCTTTTTAAATTTCATCTATACTTTCCCTCAATCCCAATTACCCATATAATTGGGTGTTTTTTGGTGTGGTCCTTTTATTATTTTATTAATTGCTTTTTAAAAAGTTTTTATTTTGGAATAATTACAGAAAGTTGCAAAAATAGTACAAAGAGTCCCATGTATCCTTAGCCCAGATTCTTCTAACAGTGACATCTTATATAGCTGTAGTACAATATCAAAACCAGGAAAGTGATGCTGGCATATTACAGTGAACTAGACTACAGATTAGCTTTCACCATTCAAAAAGTCTGCACTCATTTGTGTGTGTGTGTGTGTGTGTGTACAGTTGTATGCAATTTTTTTGTCCTACATATAGATTAGTATAACCGTCACTATCAAGAAACTGATGTGTTCTATTACCTCAAAAGAATTCCCTTATGCTACCTCTTTGTATTTTCACCCATCCCCTACCACATCCCTGTTCCCTGGCAACCACTAATCTGCTCCCCATCTCTACAGTTTCGTCATTTTGGAATGTTATGCAATAGGAATCATGCAGTATGTAATCTTTTGAGCTTGACTTTTTTCAGTAAAGAGAATGCCTCTGAGGTCCAATCAGGCCATTGCAGGCCATCGCATGTGTTAATAATTCACTCCTTTTTATTGAGTAGTAGTGTTCCATTGTATAGATGTACCAGAGTTTGTTCAACTGCCCTCCCACTGAAGGACACTGAGGTGTTTCCAGTTTTTTGCTGTTATTAAATACAAATAAAGCTGCTATGAACATTCCTGTATGAGTTTTTGTGTCAGCATAAAATTCATTTCTGAGATAAATGCCCAAGAGTGTAATTGCTGGGTCATATGGTAAAGGCATGTTTAGTTTTGTAAGAAACTGCCAAATTATCTTCAGGTGTAATATTTTTCATTCCCAGCAACAAGGTAAGAAAGATCCAGTTTCTCCACCTCATAGCCAACATCTGGTATTATCACTATTTTTAATTTTAGCTGTTCTCACAGGTATGGTGATATATCAATGTGTTTCTAATTTGCTTTTCTCCAGTAGGTAATGATATTGAACATCTTTTTAATGTGATTATTTGCCATCTGCAACTCCTCTTTGGTGAAATATGCATTCATATCTTTTGACTATTTCCCTCCTTCCTTCTTTCCCTTTTTCCTTCCTTTCCTCCCTCCCTCCCTTCCTTCTCTCTTCTCTCTCTCTTTCAAGATAGGGTCTCACTCTGTCATCCAGGCTGGAAGACAGTGACATGATCATAACTCACTGTAACCTCGATTTCCTGGGCTCAAGCCATCCTCCTGGCTCAGCCTCCCAAGTAGCTGGGACTACAGGTACGTGCCACCACATCTGGCTAATTTTTAAAAATGTTTTTATAGAGATGGAGTCTCGCTATGTTGCCCAGGATGGTGTCAAACTCCTAGCTTCAAGCGATCCTCTCGCCTTGGCCTTCCAAAGTGCTATGACTATAGCAGGCATGAGCAACTGCACCCGGCCTTTTTTGCTTATTTTCTAATTGGATTGTTGTGTTACTGCTGAGTTTTGAGAGTTATTTATATTTCCAAATATAAGGGCTCTGGGAGATGTGTGGTTTGCAAATACTTTCCCCCAGTCTGTCACTTGTCTTTTCATCCTTTTAACAAGGTCTTTCACACCACAAAAGTTTTTAATTTTGATAAAGTCTAATTTACTTTTTCATTTAGGAATTATACTTCTAGTGTCATATCTAGTAACTCTTTGCCTAACTCTAGGTCCTGAAGATTTTCTATATTTTCTTCTAATAAGTTTTATAGTTTTATGTTTCACATTGAAATCTATGCTCCAATTGAATTAATTTTTATACATGGCATGAGGTTTAGGTTCTTTTATTCTTTGTTATGAACGCA